TGGCCACCAGGGAAATCTGGGGAGGGCTAGCCTCCCACTAGTTCGAATTAAGGGGCTACACAGCCCTTAATTTGAACTAGTAAGTTCGAACTAGGCTTAGTCCTCGTACAATGAGGTTTACCTAGTTCGAACTAAGCGCTCCACTAGTTCGAATTAAGTTCGAACTAGCGGAGCGCTAGTGTAGTGCTTATCAAAGTTAATTCAAACTAACATCTGTTAGTTCGAATTAACTTTGTAGTGTAGACATACCCTATTTCAGTTAACTCAAGGGCATAAAACTTTAAGTGTTTCCTAAGTAGTGAAATCAAATCTGTTTGGGACGTACTTGGTTTGAATATCAAAGTTAATTCAAACTAACATCTGTTAGTTCGAATTAACTTTGTAGTGTAGACATACCCTATTTCAGTTAACTCAAGGGCATAAAACTTTAAGTGTTTCCTAAGTAGTGAAATCAAATCTGTTTGGGACGTACTTGGTTTGAACCTGATGCTCCCACATAAATGATGGTTTCTTAGGGCACGTCTTCACTAGCCACGCTGGATATCGATCTTCTGGTATTCGATTTAGCGGGTCTATTTAAGACCCATAAATCGAATAAGGAGAGCAACACCAACCAGTGCCTGTACCCCTTTGCTCCCACTGGCCTCCCGCTGTGGAGATACGGCCAAGCTCAGCTTAAGGTAAACTGAATCCAGCTACATATATTACGTAGCTGGAGTTGCGTACCTTAAGCCAATCTTCCAGATCTAGTGTAGACCTGGCCTCAGATGCCTAAAGCCATCTCTTTTCTTATACTGTATACAATTTTGTGATTAATATGAAAGAAATTGAGATATTTTAAATGAAATGTATTGGCTATTCATTCTTTTAGAACTTCTACTTGCTGATATAATTTTTGCCAATCAATCTGATCTCTCACCTGAAAAATACGTTCCAAGGATTGTAAAGAAGGATGAGGCAGAACCAACAGGCAAAAGTGTTTGAGAAGACGTGGACTAATCTCATTTCGTCCACCACCTGGAGGAGCACAGTCTGCAACCAATGAGACATCCTGGATATTCTATAAGAAACAGAATAGGAGAAACATGAAAGGCTGCAAATGAACCATAATTTCAAAACAAAATGAAATTTTAAAACTCCAGTGCTATTGCAAGGATTTCTACTTCAAGGTCTCCATTTCACTCCAAATATAAATGTAGTTAGAAAATGGGCCAAATTAATCTTCAATATAAAATCAGTCAATGAGACATCCTGGATATTCTATAAGAAACAGAATAGGAGAAACATGAAAGGCTGCAAATGAACCATAATTTCAAAACAAAATGAAATTTTAAAACTCCAGTGCTATTGCAAGGATTTCTACTTCAAGGTCTCCATTTCACTCCAAATATAAATGTAGTTAGAAAATGGGCCAAATTAATCTTCAATATAAAATCAGT